CCCAGACTGGAGTGCAGTGGCCGCTCCCGGCCACCGCAGCCTCGACCTGCTGGGCTCCGGCGATCCTTCTGCCTCAGCTTTCCAAGTAGCTGGAACTACAGGCGTGCACTACCATGCCCAGCTAATGTTTGATTTATTGAAGAGATGAGGTCTCGCCAAGTTGTCCAGGCAGGTCTCGAACCTGTGGGCTCAGGCAATTCACTCACCTCAGCCTCCCCAAGCGAGGGATTACGAACGAGCCACCGAGCCCGGCTAATGCTGGCTTTTTTTTCTTGCCTATCAAACCTTCTATCTTGATCCTCCATGGGAGACCTCACTGGTGCACACCACGGGGTGTGTCCCATGAGGCCACTCTAGGTCTGACAGCCACGAATGGAATGAGGGGAGTGGGGAGGGGTAGAAACCCGGAGGAGAAAGGTTCACACCTGAGGTGCCAGGAAAGGCGGGCCAGAGGAAGCTTTCATGGAAGACGAATTGCTTGAGGACAGCTCACCCCTCCTGGCCCCAGGGGAGGCTGGGAACAGGGTGGTGGCCCCGATACCCTCGCTATTTTAACTGGGCAATGAATCAGGGCGCCCCACCTGCAGAGCCCCTGCAAGGCCTTGGCCACCTGCCTGGACTTGCGTGTCGCTGTGTCCATCTGCGGCTGACTGTCCCTTCTTTCTCTCATCCATCACCCGACACATGAATGCAGCTGTTCTGACAGTTTTACAAGCCAGACAGAAGCCCCTGCAGGAAGGGCCCTCTCTGATACCTGCTTCCTTAGTCAGTTTCCTTCGGGGCAGAGGAAAACAGCTGTGGCCGTTGTTGGGGGTGATCTATCTCTCCCAACAGAGCCAGTAGCTGTGAAAAAGCTGGCCCTTGGCCCCCTCCCTTCGTAGGTGACCCTCAGCCTCCTTTTCTCTGGCTCTGGAATGTGGACTGTTAACCCTGTCGTGGCCAGACAACCACCTTTCTGCACCGGACTTCAAAGAGAGCAGTTTTGATGCCTGGGTGGTTCCAGCAGGCAGGAGGGAGGGCGCAGAGCCCCACCTGCCGTCCAGAGCGACTGGACCATGCGCGTGAACCTGCGACTGTGGAAACCATCCCTGGAACACGCCTGCCACCTGCTGGACACAAGAGGGGGCACCAACGGCTGGAGACTGGTCGGACTCAGGACTGGATGTGATTCCTTCCTTCCTCCCTCCCTCCACCCCTTCCTTCCTTCCTTCTTTCATCAGAGTCTCACACTGTTGCCCAGACTGGAGTGCGGTGGCATGCTCACAGCCACCACAGCCTCCACCTGCTGGGCTCAGGCGATTCTTCTGCCTCAGCCTTCCAAGTAGTTGGAACTAGAGATGAGCTCAGGCAGTCTTCTCCCCTTGGCCTCCCAAAATGCTGGGGTTACAGGCATGAGCCACCACGCCTGGCTTGGGTGTGATTTTATTTCATGATTGTGTTTGGGACTGAAGTCATATTAAAAAAGAACCACCCAGTGGGCTTGAACTTCGAAATGATCTCTGCCCCTCTGCATTATTCTCTGCCAATGCACAGCCCCAGCTTTTCACAGAATGTCACCTGCTTTTTCAGTGATATCACCTGCCTTTTCACTGAATGTTAAGTCACCGGCAGCTCTTCCTATGTACCTCGTCCACAACTTGTCATTGTTCAGAGTTAGACAGTGTGCCCTGGAGTAAAATTCCCAGGGCTTTAGCTGATTTGCATTGTGGGCAGCTCAGGCTGATTCCGTTTTTCTCCTGTTCTCAGCAAGGCCATCATGAACATCAAATAGTACAAAGCACATTTTAAATTTAATTTTTTTTTTTTTTTGAGCTGGAGTCTCACTCCGTCACCCAGACTGGAGTGCAGTGGCCGCTCCCGGCCACCGCAGCCTCGACCTGCTGGGCTCCGGCGATCCTTCCGAGTAGCCGGAATTACAGGCGCGCACTACCACGCCCAGCTAATTTTTTATTTATTACAGCAACATTTAAAAATTAAATTTAAAGTCGGGCTCGGTGGCTCAGCCTGTAATCCCGCGCCTTGGGAGGCTGAGGTGAGTGGATTGCCTGAGCCTGCGGGTTCGAGACCTGCCTAGGCAGCAAGACCTCATCTCTACAATAAATCAAAAAATCAGCCAGGCGTGGTAGTGCATGCCTGTAATTCCTACTACTTGGAAGGCTGAGGCGGAAGGATCGCAGGAGCCCAGCAGGTCAAGGCTGCGGTGGCCGGGAGCGGCCACTGCACTCCAGTTTGGGCGACAGAGTGAGACTCCGACTAAAAAAAAAAAAAAAAAAAGCCGGGTTCGGTGGCTCAGCCTGTAATCCCATGCTTTGGAAGACTGAGGTGAGTAGATTGCCTGAGCCCGCGAGTTCGAGACCCACCTGGGCCGGCAAGACCTCATCTCTACAATAAATTAAAAAAAAAATAGCCGAGTGTGGTAGCTTGCGCCTGTTGTTCCAGCTACTCGGAAGGTTGAGGCGGAAGGATCACCGGAGCCCAGCAGGTCGAGGCTGCGGTGGCCGGGAGCGGCCACTGCACTTTAGTCTG